GGGTGGGGTGTAGAGGAGAACTTATTCTCACAAACACATATTAAACAATCCATGGGGTAGGGAAGTGGTTAATTCCTAGACCCTTTCTCTCTCAAAACTGGGACACATGAGGACTTTAAAGTCTTAAATAATCCCCACAGTAGACACCCCCAATCCCAGGTAACCGTGTGTGCTAGCAGCAAGAAAAAGAAATTTCCCTACTCCTACATAATCTTAAGTGACTTTGCGTTTAATTTTATTTCCATTAAATAGCTCCCCTCACTGAGAGAAACTGTACTAGAAACTAATGTGTACCGGAAAAATGCAGCAAGTGAAACCAATGACTCAGGCTGGCAGTAGTATAGTCAGGAGACAGACAGAAGGACCGATTTCCCTTCTGACACTCCCTTCCCAACTTCCTTAACTCCGTATTAAAACCAAAATACCTCAATCATAGGAAGAAGGAAACAGCCGTGCTGTTATAGACTTTAACTATCACAACAACATCAAATCCAGCAATAAGGAAGTTTCATGGCTCTTCTTCAAAAAAGGGAATATATTGCCATCAGGAAAGAAGCTACTGTAGCCCTTTCTTCTGTTCGAGTTTGTTCTTTAGTTCTAGCTAGTAGAAATAGCAGAACCTATCTGTATGTTTTCACCATAATTGTTTTGCTGTTATTAATAAGCAAAACCAAATCACTACATTTCCCACTCTACGTTTTTACTACTTTAATATCATAGTATTTAACATAATGATGACAAAGAGCAGCATTTACTGTAAGTTGTCCTTGTGCTCCTGAGACCACAGTCTAAAAACTAGTTAAGACCAAACACTAAAAACCATACACAGGCAATTACCCTCAATGGGAAAAGGGACTGACTAAATTGCTTAGAAACATTAAATCAATACATTAGCAGTCAGTAACGATACTGGTGTAGGTGTGTTTATCAGTTCAGATCATCCATTAAGGATTTGTTATGATTCCCTGTATTCTGAATTCATGCCGAGCAATGACTTATCACAAAGCAGACCGTATATGCACGATACAGCAAATCACGATTTATACCTTGACTACATGACTTGCTATAAAGCTTGAGATAATACATTTAACTTTGCAAACACTACAGAAACCATGATTCTTTGCAGAAAGTATGAAAAAAGAATGTTAGGCTTAAGTAAAAATGTGTTTGTTCCTATTGTTTTGCTCCAGTTGTGAAACTGTCCCATACCGAATTGCCTATTACTTTAAAAGTGAGCAAGACAAAAACGATCTTACAGAATGTACTGTCAGTAGCCATTTGCTACTACAATTTAACATATGACTGTACTTCAGATATAATTAACAGACTCACACAAATATAAGCACACATTTTTACACGTAATGTGTGTCTCACATTCTGTGTGGACAGAAAAAACTTACATGAACCCTACACTTTTAATTCCAAACTTCACAAAAGCAAATAGCCACAAGGTTCAAATGAAAGGTCAGAGGGTCAGAGGGAGAGCAAGCAGGAAAACATCTGGATTTCTGTTGCGTTGACACCCACCACATTAGCTCAAAACAAGATAAAAGCGCATTTCTTACCTTCACCTACCATAGAAACACCTATTGACATGCCCATAAACTTGCTCTTGGTCCACACATGAGCGTTCACGCACATTTTCTTCTCTTTGCACTCACAGTAAAAGCAAGATACCGGTGGATGATGGGATACTTGTTCAGCTACAAACCTCAGCTTGTAGCACGTGGACTGATCCTGGCCAAACTCCTTGGTTGGGTCCTTAGAAACCGTGGAGGCACCGTTAGTTCTGAATGCTTTCACTTTATCTTTAGGCACGTCCCACGAGCAATGAAACGTTTCACCAATTATAGGGTTATAGGGCTTCTTGGCAACCGCTCCCTTTCGGCCTTCGTGAAAAGCTGTTAGATAATACTCCACAAAGCAGATAATTCTTTCCTCGGGAGTGGCTCCAGCTGCAATTGACAAAAACAGGTCTGGATGGGCCATGAAATTTGCATACATCTCCAGCAGGGATCTTTTCTCCAAAATAAATGTTGGAAGCACTACCTGTATGCAAAGCAGACAAAGGCAGATATGATTTCCCCATGATCATACTACCATGGGAGAAGGGGGGGAGAACAGTTAAGACAGCTGCAATTCTGGCCCTGCCAAGTTTCGGGACAGCGTATTTTCCTCCCCTGCCACAGCAATTTCATTTTCTTTGCAGTGTAAATAACGCGCGAAGGAAAAAGCAGCGGCCTTGATAGCCATGCAGGCTGCTTCCTATTTCATTATGATTCTCAACAGCAGCTCACACAACGGGGATGGGCTGTTCCACTCACGTGGAAATTTGCCTTTTCCTCTCCTCTCAGTTAACAAACCAACCATTGTTCTCCTTGTTTACAGCACATAAAAACATACTTTGATGTCAATTAATTTACATCCAACATAAATAAACCCAACTAATCATAACCCTCCCAAAAGGGCGGGGCACACCCTCCCAAACCACTAGAAGATGAGTATTTTATATAAACACACACATCACCAACCTGTAAGTGGTGGATAGCACAAGGGGTACATCTACCCATTCCATCAAACAACTGGGCTCCCAATTTCACTCCTGGGCCCTTGACCACCCACTGCATACATATTAGGTCCCTTGCAGCCTCTAACAAACCAAACCAACTAGATCCAACCAAAACCCAATCTCGGGTGTGTTTCCAAGGATAAAACCATGCCAAGGACTCCTCCCAAGAGGCAGGAAACCACCCCAGGTTTGACTCCCTCTGCCCTACACTATCATCGTGTCATGCCCCTCCCACCTTCCATGTCAAATCCCTTGCCACCTCTAGGCTCTCCTGTCACCTCTAGGCACACAGCACATCCCCTCAGTCTGAGATCGTACCATACTACTGTGGTGGGCCCTTGCATGCCTTCAGCTTATTTCAGACAAGTTGAAACAAACAAAAACTGCACAAGCTGTTACATTAATATCCTGGGACTACAGATGCTCTAGGGGGCCAGAAAAAAATCTGGGACTGAGCACTAGGCAGCCTGCACTGGAGGGAGCCAGCCCTGAGTGATTTGGATGCAGTCTCGAGTGGCTCATCTAACAACGCAGATGTTGCCAAAGTCACCCACTTACAAATAACACTTTGTTAAAAGTTTTCAGTGAAACATCCTGGAGTGCATTGCAAACAGACAAGGGCTACAGGACCTAAAAATAATTTATTTCTGTCCATTCCTTCTCCCTCACCCTCAACACCTTGTGCAGGACCATCCTAGGGGAGCTCAGGTCACTCCTGCGTGACCAACAAGGAACTTCTGGCACGCACAAATTTGTCTAGAGTCAAAGTGGCTCAATGGTGCCAGATGCAGACCAACAGCTGTCCCCTATTAAAGCAATTCTTCTGCTTTCCTCTTTAATTCTTCATTGCATTTACTTTTTCCCTTTCCCAAAAGCAAGGGTAATTTATAGCAGGCAGGGAGCCACCCTTCAAACATAAACACATTTGCTCTCCCCCCTGCCACCCCAGGCTATCCTAAGTGGGACCAAAGCACAGTTCAGTCCCTTTGGATCCCATGGATAATGAAATAGAAGCTGTCAAACTTTTATTCATCATTTAGTTCTTTTCAAAGAAAACTTGTAAACACGAAAAAAAATTCCAGGCACAAAGGCTCAAACGCAGTCTTAATACCTACACAGTAAGTCAACCTACACAGTAAGTCAAGATACCACAACCGCAAAAAAAAAAGATTGCCGTGCCATTTGGTAACGTACATGCTCATTCGCTCTCTCCTTCTGTTCTCTCCCCCTCTCCCTCCCCCCCCCCCC